GTCAGATACTCCCGCAAAGCAGAAAATTACGTGACTGGCTCTTCCCTTCTTTTCTGGAGTAAATACGAGGAGGGAGAGCTGTGGGCCTTTCTCCAAGGAGGAGGAACCACAACCCTGCAGGAGCAGGAGGACCAGTAGCTTGGAAACTCCAGCCCCATCCAGCTCTCCCAAGAGGGTCTCGCTGTTGATGCCAGCCAGTTCAGTCCAAAACCCAGCTGAGACCCTGCAGTGACCATGAGGGGACTCAACTATACAAGACAGAGAAGAATAGAATAGAACAGAATACAGAATACATCTCCGTTATTGTCCTGGATAAGACCCACCACTGCCGTGTCATCTGAATACATAAGAATAAGAATAAGAGTAAGAGTAAGAGTAAGAATAGGGGAATGGAATGGAATGGAATGGAATGGAATGGAATAGAATAGAATAGAATAGAATAGAATAGAATAAGAATGAATAGAATATAAAATAGAATAGAATAGAATATTAGAATACTGTGGAATGGAATGAAATGAAATGAAATGAAATGAAATGAAATGGAAAGGAATAGAATAGAATAGAATAGAATAGAATAGAATAGAATAGAATAGAATAGAATAGAATAGAATAGAATATGGAAAGTAGAATAGAATAGAATAGAATAGAATAGAATTAGAATAGAATAGAATAGAATAGAATAGAATATTAGAATACTGTATAATGGAATGGAATGGAATGGAATGGAATGGAATAGAATAGAATAGAATATTAGAATACTGTGGAATGGAATGAAATGAAATGGAAAGGAATAGAATAGAATAGAATAGAATAGAATAGAATAGAATAGAATAGAATAGAATATGGAAAGTAGAATAGAATAGAATAGAATAGAATAGAATAGAATAGAATAGAATAGAATATTAGAATACTGTGGAATGGAATGAAATGGAATGAAATGGAATGAAATGAAATGGAAAGGAATAGAATAGAATAGAATAGAATAGAATAGAATAGAATAGAATAGAATAGAATAGAATAGAACAGAATAGCCTAGTCTAGACCATGGGGTTTTCCAATCCTTAAAAATTTCCAGTGTTGGAGCATTCACAACTTCTGGAGGCAGGTTGTTCCACTGGTTAATTGTTCTCACTGTCAGGAAGTTTCTCCTTAGTTCTAGGTTGCTTCTCTATTTGCTTAGTTTCCACCCGTTGCTTCTTGTCCTGTCTTCTAGGGGATTTGGAGAATAGCTTGACTCCCTCTTCTTTGGGGCAATCCCTGAGATATTGGAACACTATCTCATGTCCCCCCTCGTCCTTCTCTTCGTTAAACTAGACATACCCAATTCCAGCAACCGTTCCTTATATGTTTTAGCTTCTAGTCCCCGCATTGCAATGGACATGTTCAAAACAAGTGCGGGTCACATCCTGATACTCCATCCCCCTCCTGGATGAGTTTGACCTCTGCCAGGGAGGGAGGGTCCCATGCAAGAGAACCCATGAAAGGGCACATGAAACGTATCTTGAAACCATATTGGAGTCTCCAGGCATCTGACTTGGATGCCTCCAGTACCCTTTCTTGGGGACAGTTCTGGAGCTCAGAGTAGCTTAGATCAGGGGTTTTCAACCTTCCTGGCTGTGTGTACCCACGGGGGCAGGGGGGGAGAGGGGATGGTTCCGCGCAAGCGGCAGGCATGCACGCACACGGACACAGGTCTATTTGTACAAACGGCAGACACGCGATCACCCGCTGCTGATGCACGTGGAGTGCACTCACCCACCCCTTCCGCAGCCCAGTTCCGAACGCCTCAAGGACCGGTAGTGGGCTGTGGCTCGGGGATTGGGGACCCCCAGTTTAGACTGTAAGAACTGTCCCAACACAGCGATGTAGGTTTACACCCCTCACGGACACACCTCTTCCCAGAATGTTTGGTTCGAGGAGCCTGGCGCTTTCTTCCGTAGAATATCTATGGAGAGTCTCAGTCCTCCAGGACATGGCTGCTTTTTTCCCAGGAGGCAACTGGACTTCCTTGTTTTTCCTTTGAAGACATTTCGCTTCTCATCCAAGAAGCTTCTTCGGCTCTGACTGGAGGGTGGGGAAGGGAAGGATTTATACTCCTTGCAGACAGCTGGTCATTTGCATTCTTCTGTTGAGTCGTTGAGGCCACGTGGAGCTTTGTCTGTGTCCTCAGGGTCAGCTGAGTGGTGCAAATGGGTGTGGAGCCTTCTTGGAACTGCTGAAAGGACTGTGTGGTAGACTGGAGAGAGATGATTTACAACACAGCCCTTTCAGGACTTCCAAGAAGGCTCCACACCCATTTGCACCACTCAGGTGACCCTGAGGACACAGACAAAGCTCCAAGTGGCCTCAACGACTCTCTAAAAGAAGGCAAATGACCAGTTTTCTGCAAGGAGTATAAATCCTTCCATTCGCCACTATCCAGTCAGAGTCGAAGAACCTTCTGGGATGAGAAGCGAAACGTCTTCAAAGGAAAAACAAGAAAGACCAGTTGCCTCCTGAAAAAAACCACCTTGCGAACATTCTTCAGTAGAAATTTCAGACCCTTACAATGAATTCAATAGTAAAAACTAAAAAGAGCTATGCAGGTAGTCCTCAACGTATGGCTGCCATCAAGCCCAACATTTCTGTTGTTAAATGAGACATGCGTAAAAGTGAATTTTGCCCCGTTTAGCAACCTTTCTTGCCCCGGTTGTTAAGTGAATCATGGTTGTTCGGTGGATCCGGCTTCCCCCATTGACTTTGCTTGTCGGAAAGTTGCAAAAAGGGATCACGCGACCCCGGGACGCTGCAACCATCATAAATAGGAGTCAGTGGCCAAGCACCTGAACTTCGATCACATGAATGCTGTAACGGTCGTAAGTGTGAAAAATAGTCATAAGTCTTGTCCAGGCCCAGAATGGACTCCCGGAAGTGGCATCCACACAGAGAACCGGTTGTTCACCTATCTGAATCCCACCACTGAATGGATGGATGGATGGATGGATAGATGATAGATAGATAGATAAATGACAGATAGATAGATAGATAGATAGATAGATAGATAGATAGATAGATAGATAGATAGATAGATAGATAGAAAGATAGATAGATAGATGATAGATAGATAGATAGATAGATAGATAGATAGATAGATAGATAGATAGATAGATAGAAAGGTAGGTAGGTAGGTAGGTAGGTAGGTAGGTAGGTAGATAGATAGATAGATAGATAGATAGATAGATAGATAGATAGATGATAGATAGATAGATAGATAGATAGATAGATAGATAGATAGATAGATAGATAGATAGATAGATAGATAGATAGATAGAGTGGTGGGATTCTTCCAGTTCGCACCACTTCGGCAGAACCGGTAGCTAATTTTTTGTTGCCCAGGCCCAGAATGGACCTTCGGAAGTGGCATCCACACAGAGAACCGGTTGTTCACATATTTGAATCCCACCACTGAATGGATGGATGGATGGATAGATGATAGATAGAGAGATAGATAAATGATAGATAGATGATAGATAGATGATAGATAGATAGATAGATAGATAGATAGATAGATAGATAGATAGATAGATAGATAGATAGATAGATAGATAGATAGATAGATAGATAGATAGATAGATGATAGAGTGGTGGGATTCAGCCGGTTCGCACCACTTCGGCAGAAGCAGTAGCTAATTTTTTGTTGCCCAGATCCAGAATGGATTTCCGGAAGTGGCATCCACACAGAGAACCGGTTGTTCACGTATCTGAATCCCACCCCTGATCAGCTCTCCAGATGTGACCTCAGCAAACCAGAATGAAGTGGAACGGTTAATACCTCTAATTAGGAAGTTATAATTTCTACTGAAGCCAAAAACTGAATTCATCTTTAGAGCCACCGCATCTAACTGCCAGTAAGTCAGCTAGTAGTCCGAGATTATTATTTTTTTTCACAAGCACCATTATTAAATCAAGTACCGTGCTACCATCCCTTAACAGGCACATTTTTTTCCCCCTACACAAAAGAAGTTCGTTTCTCTCTGTTAGATTTCATTCTATCCATTCCAGGCGATTTCTCTACCTTGTTGAGAGAACCCCTTTAATTTTATCTACTTATGATCGGCGCTGTCGATAAAGGATTGCCCCGCCCGCCTATCGGTCGTCCAGAGATCATGATTGTCCCCAAGGTGCTTTTTTTCCAAGAGGCAACTAGAATTTCCTTGTTTTTTTCTTGAAGACTTTTCGCTTCCTATCCGAGAAGCTTCTT